CTCAGGAAAGCAATGAACAAAATGAGGAACATGCCAATATAACTTTATCAACAGGTAATTCTAAGCAGCAGAGCAGAGACAAGGGAAAATAGATTTATAAGCAAGAATTGGAAGATAATCTGGCTGTTTCTCTTTCTCATTGAGTTCAAAAGTCAGTGCTTGATGACAAATCATCTTGAAACAACAGGAATTCACCAAGGGCCGAGAATATTTGCGAATATCACTCCTGCTGAAGAAACAGGGAAAACAGTTCAACAGAATTTTAAACTGAAATTGCCTTTGGTTTCCTGTCTGTATGGACATCCCTTCCCCCTCTCTTTGTAAGTTTATTACCCGTATCTGTCTACGTGTTTGACATCCAATTTTTCTTTTTTATAAGTTTAGTAGAGAATAAAACTCCACTTTCTCACTTGGGAAAATCTGGGCTTATCTTCACTTTTGATCTGGTGAACTAAATTTAATTAAAATGTGATAGATACATGATAAAAAGGAATTAACAATGTTTGTTGCGATTAACTAGAATGTAGTTAAAAAGATCACTTCTCAACTGCTTGAATTAGAATTAGGAGCAGGAGGAGGCCATTCAGCCCCTTGAGCCTGCTGTACCATTCACCAAAATCATGGCTGATCTGATTGTGGTCTTGGCTGTATATTCACACTGAGCCCCTGATAACCATTGGCTCACACAATTCTCTCACATTTCTCACCGTGTCATTCCTGGCCTCTGATTATTCTGACTGGTGTTAGTCAACTATCTATAAAACTATTCAAAGTCTCTAGGCCCACTAATCTCTGAAGTAGAGAGTTCCACAGACTCACAGCCCTCTGAGAGAAAAAAAAACTCTCCTCATCTCAGTCTTAAACTGGCAACCCTTTATTTTTAAGCATTCATTCTAAATCCCTCTGCAAGGGATTCTTTCCTCTCTGTACCCACCAAGCCCCTTCAGCCCTCTCACCTGTTTCAATAAGATCACCTCTCACAGGCGTGATCTGTCCATCCTTTCCCCAGAAAACAAACCCTTTCATCCCAGGAAACAGTTGAGTGAACCTGTTCTGTACAGGTGCTATAGCAATGTATCCTTTCTTGACCAGAGACCAAAGTGAGACCATACTCCTGATGGAATCTCACCATAACATTCTATTCTCATTATATTCTTCATAACATTGGCCGTAACATTGTATTCCTCGCTCTGCCCACATTACCCTAATGCACTTTGTATGTTATGGTCAACCGGTACTGCATGCAAATCCTTTTCGCTTATACCTAGGTACATGTGAAAATAAAAAAAAAATCAAATCAAAGCCCCGTACAACTTTAGCAAAACATCCTTATCCTATAATAAATTAAAGGACTGTGGATGCTGAAGATATGAAACAAAAACAGAAATTGCTGGAGAAACTCAGCAGGTCTGGCAGTATCTGTGGAGAGTCAAACACAGTTAACATTTCAAGTCAGTGACCCTCTTTCCTCCATCCTATATCCATTTGACTTTGAAAAAAATACCAAATGCCACTTGTCTTCCTAATGACTTTCTTCACCAACAGAGTAACTTTATATGCTTCATGTACTACCCAGATCCCTCAGTACCTCAGAGTTCTGCAATCTCTCTCTTCTTAAGTATTTTACTATTTCTCTTTTCTTGCTGCTAATTTTCCACATTATACTCCATCTGCACTTTGCTCCCCTCCCTCGACCTGCACCCTCTCGTTTCACAGACACGTGGGGCAGGAATGACATGGTGAGAAACTGGAGAGAATTGTTTGAGATATTGAGTGAGGCCTTTCTCAAAGTCAGACCAATCACATTATGGTCGCTGAGATGAGATTCTCACTAGTGAACGCTAAGAACCTATTAATGGGCATTCTGCTCATTGTCTCTTCATTCCCACCAGGGCATTCAGGATCTCCGGATAGAAAGGAGATGCTGAGAATTCCCAACGTGAGAGCCCGAGCAGGAATCTGGTGATGCCAGCTCATCACAGGCTCCTCCTGGCTGCCATCTGGGATACCTAGCACCAATATCTCAGGGTACACTCAATGGGCAGTGACCATGAACACCCCATGTTCATGGATATTGGCACCTGACATATACCAGCGTAGCTGCACCCGCATGGCACATCTCTGATCCATTTATTGTCCAGAGCTGCCCTTCAGTACTGAACTTTGGGGCACCCTGACACCTCTAATCGTAATTCTACTACAAGGACACTTTGTGAGTGAGAGCAGACACCCAGCTCACAAACTGGACCAGGCAGCATTTCAGGACTGTCCACTTAATCTGCCCCGATGGTCACAGTATTCATGCCTTCCCTGTGATCCAGCACCTGCCCCCGCTCAGCTAGACTTTAACAGCTCACAGTATTTCTGTCTTGCCTCATTGTTTAGTTCATGGAACAGTACAGCATAGGAACAGGCCTTTCGGCCCACCAAGCCTACACCGACATATGACACCTTTCTAAACTAAAACTCTTTTGCCTGTACGCAGTCCGTATCCCTCTGTTCCCTGCTTATTCATGTACCTGTCAAGGTGCCTCTTAAATGCTGTGATTGTATCCATCTCCTCCACCTCCTCTGGCAGTGCATTCCAGGCAATTACCATGCTCTGTGTTTAAAAAAAACTTGCCTCTCACATCTCCTTTAAACTTACCCCTTTTACCTTAAACCTTTGTCCCCCAGTAATTGAGATTTCTACTCTGGGAAAAAGACTCAGACTATCTATTCTATCCATGCTCCTCATAATTTTGTAATCCTCTATCAGGTCACCCCTCAGCTTTCAATGTTCAAGTGAAAACAAACCAAGTTTTTCCAAACTCTTCTCATAACCGATATCATCCAAACCAGGCAACATCCTGGCAAACTGTTTCTGTACCTTCTCCAAAGCCTCCATCCTTCTGTTAGTGTGGTGACCAGAACTGTACGCAATATTCCAAACGTGGCCGAACTGAGGAAAGGTCCTGAAACGTTAACTCTGTTTTCTTCTGCACAGATGCTGCCAGACCTGCTGAGCTTTTCTAGCAAATTTGTTTTTGTGGCCGAACTAAAGTTCCATACAGCTGCTGATTTTTATACTCTGTGCTCTGACTGATGAAGGCGAGCGTACAATACACCTTCTTCACTACCTCATCCACTTGTATTACCACTTTCATGGAACTGTGGACCTGTTCACCTAGATCCCTCTGTATTTGATTCTTCTGAGGGTTCTGCAATTTACTGTATACTTCCCTCCTGCATTAGATCTCCCAAAGTGCATTACCTCACATTTGTCTGGATTAAACTCCATCTGCCATTTATCCGCCTAAGTCTCCAGCCTATCTGTATCCTGCAGTATCTTCTGGCAACCCTCCTCACTACCCACAGCTCCCCCAATCTTTGTGTCCTCCACAAACTTACTAATGAGGCCAGCTACATTCTGCTCCAAATCACTTACATATATTAAACAACAGGGGTCCCAGCAATGATCCCTGCAGAATATGATTGGTCACAGATCTCCTGTCTTGTATGATTAAGCCAGGTCTCTGTATCCATCTTCCAGATCCCATGTGATCTCACATTTTGTATCAGCCTGCCATGATGGAACTTGTCAAAGGTCCTGCTAAAGTCCACACAGACAACTTTCATCGCCCTGCCCTCATCTATTATCTTTGGCACCTCCTCAGACATAAGTGTGGACACAAAGCGAAAAGCATGTCCTGTTTGTTGGGATCATTGTCAGTGGAGGTTGGACATGTTGCTGACTCAGCACAGCATGGCATATGATGACAGCAGCACACCTGCTCCATTTGCTAGCAGCCCACATCTCACACAGAATGGCCTTTTAAAGATGGCATCAATGCTAGAGATCCCGGGATAACCCACGGAGGTAAATGTTTCTGATTACGGAAATAAGAAGATCAGGCTAGCATCAGATGGGAAAGGCCTCACAGGGGCATCTTGTACAGTTAATGAGGTGAGTTTGGGACAATCACCAGGCCTCACCAAGGAAACCCTCCATGAAACTCAACAAAAATGAGACTCAGTCAAAATATGGGAAAGCTGAGCTCTTTATAACCTCTTCACAACTAACTCTCCCATCTAACAACGTTTGTGTTGTCAGAAAATTTAGTAATCACACGTTCAGGCCCATCATCCTTCACTTCACACGTCTACACATGAAGCACCAGCCCCTGCAAGTTCCCCTCCAAACCACTCACCATCCTGACTTGGAAATATATTGCCTTTCCTCAGGGCAGTTGGGGATTGGCAATAAATGCCGGCCTACCCAGTGATGCCCTCATCTTGTTAATGAATTAAACAAAAAACAAGCTGTTTACACTTGCCTGCCTGGGCAGAGATTGAGAATCATCTTAAAAAGAAGAAAGACAGAAAAGAGAGGGAAAATGTTTCTGTTGTGGCAGCGGGACAAAGTGAGAAACATCCCCACAAAAGGTGCTGGGATCGAGAGAGAGCTCCAACCACAGGACACAAAAAAAACCCAAGAAGTGTCCAACACATGGAACTGAGATTGCAACCTGGGAACTTCAGCAAAATATCCAAATTGCACTAAGAATGAAACATGAGACCAAAGTCAGAACCATACATTGACCTCGATCACCCTCGACCCTGTCCCCCATTGCATACTCCCGGGACAGGGATAGAACGGAGTTAGATACAAAGGAAAGCTCCCTTTGCATGGTCCCCATCGAACAATCCCAGGACAAGGATGCCAAGGAGTTATATACGGAGTAAAGCTCTCTCTATATTGTATCATGAAGTACTTTAAGGTCATTGTGGTTAAATGCAGTTCAGGGACAGCAAACGTTTGCTGCAGGACGAATGTAGCGTTGAATAGCAGAGCTCTCCTGAGCTGAGTTCTATCTTGTTTACAGACAATATTTGAGTTATTATGAACTCTGAGCAGGAAGGCACAGGGCAATGAAGATGAGAGATTACTTTTCTTTCCTGAACTGGTTTGAATGCAGAATCTCACATTGCTATCTGAAACTATGGTGCACAAATCTTACCTTCCTGTGAGTGAGTGAGGTCTGTCATTGACAGTAGGAGAGCTGAGACTGTGAGAATGAAGCCAGTTTGGTCCATGTCTGCTCAGTCTGTCTTCATAGCATAAGCTTGCTGTAGACTAACCGATCAGAGTGTCTCTATCAGTGGCTGGCTCCTTTTATTTTGACAGTTTACAATGACACTGCAGGAGAGCTGACAATTTGTTACAGTGAGATTAGGAGCTTGCATCATTTTTTGAAGATCACACTGCACTTTTATCAAACAACTGACAACAACCTCAGAGCCCCCAGGTTCCTCTCATTCTAATCTGGCAATTGCAGGGCAAGGGCAACTTCTTCACGACGTTCTTCATTCTCACAGTCCAATTTGTTAAATATTTGGCACTAGGTATACATGCATGAACAGAAATGTAATGGTGAAAGACCAAAAATTTGAGAAATTTGACACCGTATTACCAGGCTATATTCTAATGGGCTGAGCAACCACTGGGCTTGGTTTGTATCTGCTTGGGTTCTGAGTTACCCCCTGGTATTTCTGAGGGAAATAATGGGAAGCTCCCTGTTCTGTTTAGCTCAGCAATCACTATTATTATCCATAGAGGCACTGGACGACTGCTCTTCATCTGAGTTAATATTGTAGCTGGCCTGGAGTTTTAACTGGGACACACCACTGCCCACACCAACACCAGGAGAGCAGCAGGTGTCATTTCTGCCTTTGCTTTTTGCTGGTTTCCATGTGACTTTAATTCAACCTTTCCAGCAACACCCAGGAAGGTGTGGGAAGGATTTTAATTATTAATTCATATCAGACTGAAACAGGTACCAGCTGGGCAAGAAGAGAGAATTTCCTCATCATGAGCATGGCCTTCCTGCCCAACTGAGTGAGTAGTGTCATGGTAATGCCACAGATACAGTCATTTAGAGAGCTGGTGACAAAGGTTCGAATCCCAACATCCCAGCTGGTGCAATTTGAATTAAATTCTAGAATTGGAAGTTGGTGTCATTAATTGTGGATTGTTGTAAAACCTGACCTGGTTCACTAAAGTCCTATAGGGAAGGGAACTACTGTCCTTACTGGGTCAAGCCCACATGTGACTCCAGGCCCACAACAGTCGGGTTGACTCTGAAACAGGTTGAGCTTCTCAGTTCAGGAACAATTTGGGATGGGACAGTGAATGCTGGCCTGGCCAGTGACACTCATAATCCATCAAAACAAATTAAAAGACAAAGCATTTATTGAGAGCACAAAGGTGGGACACAGGTGTCATTCAAATTAAAGTTTTGCTTGCAAATATTTCTCCTGAGATCGGTTTGATTTGCATCATGTGGGTGTTACTATTATCTCAGAGAACTCCAGGTAGTGGCTCACCTGTCTGCTGCTCATCACTGCTTACAGGAAGCTTAGCAGCATCTCTGTTATTGTGGGAGACACAATGTCATGTTCTTTTGTTGATTTGTTGTTGAATGTTTGTGTTAGTGCCTGTGGTTGTACTCACCACTCAGTGGGACGTGTCTCAGCTGAGCCTCCCTTCAAAGTGTTGTGAGGGACTTGGTGAAGGGAACCTTAGCAGCTAATGGAAATGTAACTGATGATGACCTCAAAGCTCTTTAAGGGGCCTCCCAGACAACACCTTGTGATGGAGCCACATTTTCACAGTCTCTATATACACCCTTCCTTTACAGACTGACTGTCCCCAAACCTCATTCACATCCAGGATACCAGGCCCTTCCCTTGTCCACTTCTATCCCACTCTACATACATGCCCCTCATCACTGGCTCATTGATGCCAGTCTAGTGCCTGCTCCATTCTCCCTTGTGTCACTGAGCATAGAGGCAGCTGGTCAATGCCATTTTGAAACAGCCATGAACTGGCAGTTTGCACACTTCTTGTGAATCACTGACTCGAACATGAACAAAGTCTGCAATTCCCAAGAGATTTGATATAATTGTGTACTTATACAAAGAAATAAATAGAATGAGTGGGCTGTTTGGCCCCGCAAGCCTGCTCCCCCATTCAATAAGATCATGGCTGATCTGTTTGTGTTTTGAATTCTGCATTCCCCCCAGTAACCTGGGATTCTCCACCTAACAAGAATCTATCTACCTCCGTTTTAATATTCACTGATCTCCATCTGCACCAGCTCCTGGGACAGGGAGTTCCAAATTCTTCTCGTCTCTGTCCTAAAACAGTGAGCCCCAATTTTAAAACAGTGGCCCCCTGGTTCTGCACGGACCCACAGGAGGAAACATCCTCCAACACTCACTTTGTGCAGACCATTCAAGATCAATCAGGTCACCCCTCACTCTCCTAAGCTCCACAGGAAACAAGTCTGGACTGTCCAACCTGTTAAGTCCAATGTCGATGGTCTGAAAACCCTCATTTCAAGTAAGAAACCAACACAGAAGGATGTGAGGCCAAACACATTACAGTCACAACACAGTCTCTAAACTTCAAGCTGCCTTCTCCCCCACCAACACCCCCCCCAAACCCCCACATTCCCAACTCCTTCAGGAATGAGCACCTGAACAAAGTTCCATTCGACAGCCAATGCAATTGGATGTGGATGGATGGATAGTAGTGACTGATTGCAGCAAAGTGGCTACAAAACAGAAACAGAATCATTTTGTTTGTTTTATTGCTTCAGCAGATAGGGATGCTGCTGGATGGGCCTGTATTTATTGCACATCCCTAATTGCCCTGGAGAAGCTGGTGGTGAACTGTCTTCTTGAATAGTTGGGGTCTGTGGGGTGTAAGGACATACACAGGGATGGTGGATTTAGAAGGTGCTGCTGAAGGAGCCTTTGAGAGTTTCCACAGTGCACCTTACAGATAGTACACACTGCTGCTACTGAGCGTCGGTGGTGGAGGAAGTGGATGTTTGTGGATGTGTCAATCAAGCGGCTGCTTTGTCCTGGATGGTGTCGAGCTTCTTGAGTATTGTTGGAGCTGCACTCATCCAGGCAAGTGTGGAGTATTCCATCACACTCCTGACTTGTGCCTTGTAGATGGTGGACAATCTTTCAGGAGTCAGGAAGTGAGTTACTCGCTGCAGTATTCCTAGCTTCTGACCTGCTCTTGTAGTCACTGTGTTTATGTGGTGAGTCCAGTTGAGTTTCTGGGTTAGGGGCTGAGATTGGTAATTAGGGGGAAGAGGTTTTTGTGGGATCAATGCAGCAGACCTTGCTATTTGCCAGAACTGGACTCTGTAATCAGAGACAGAATTTCAAACTTTGTCTAAAACAGCAGATTAGGGTGGGGTAGATATAAATACAAAGGCTTATGATAAAATATCAGGCTTTATGAATGTGCTTGCAGAACAGGTGTGTATTGATAAGTATATGTTGTGATAGGAAGAATATGTAGGCTCCAGTCTCCTTGGAAACTGTGTCTCAGTGTTGGTCAAGTAGAGAACCTGAGAGAGCAGGCTCCCTTAATGATGTCCTCGCAGTAAGACAGATTCACCCAGCACTGACCAACTGCTCCCATTCTCCTCAACAATTCCTATTTTTCCTTGCTCCACATTCAGCTGCTGTGCCTTAATTTTCTGAGCCCCTTGGGGCAGGCTGGATATTGATAAGGGTATGGGCCGAGGGTCAGGGGGTTCACCATTGTTACTTCTTGACAATTTGTCCTTCACAGCTTTTGGGGAGAGTTCGGCCAGAATCTGTCTCTGCTGATTCACTAACCCTGATTTCACCCTGAAATCACCTTGGACTGTTCCCTCTGAGAGGGGGAGCTCAGGCTGTAACCTGCCAACACCCCACCATCCACTGCCCACACCCCTACCTCCGCCAACCCCTGCCCAAACCCCTATCCCCACCATCCCCTGCCCAAACCCCTACCCCTGCCACCCCCTGCCCACACCCCTACCCCCACCATTCCCTGGCCCACACCCCTACCCCCGCCGTCCACTGCCCACACCCCTACCCCCGCCATCCCGTGCCCACACCCCTAACCCCGCCGTCCTGCCCACACCCTCACTGACCACCCCCTCCCCAATGCACCCTAATGCCCCCACACTCAGCATCCCCCACAACCCCATCGCCCTCTCTCTGTCAGGTTGAATGTTGAAGCTGTGACTCTCCACAAGTTATTCCTTGCTGAGTCGCTCCATGTGACTGCATTCCCAGCACATCCTAACCTGGAGTTCCATTCATTGCAGTTTTCGATTGGAGGGAACCGCAGTCTGTACAGGAGACAGTATCCCACTGGGCCTCTGAGTTCAAACTTACTTCTTAAAATCAATCAGTCGTAACAGTTTGATAATGTGGATTTATCAAGCTAGCAATACATATGATAACATTTCATATTACACATTGTAATGACAGCTAGTTATTGAAAATTGTTCCCATTCTCACTGCAGAGCTCTAACTCATCATGATTCAAATATTCATCATTATCATCACTTCCTTCCCTCAACTGCCACCAATTCAAACTTTGCCTGAGCTGGTTATAGAGAACCTCAACTCGATTGGGGGAGAGAATTGAACTTTCTCTGATCAACACTTGATATAATTCTGTTCTAATCTATGACCCTCCACATGATATTGAGAGCCTTTGATTGTGTAAAGAAACTGCTCTTTAGAACCTAAGACATAATCAGGATTTATTAATCCCCTTTTAATCACTGGTTTAACAGCGACACAGTCACCCATAACTTCTGAAGGCCTATCCCTTTATTGCTCCGTAAACCGGTTCAATAACCCAACCTCCACCTGGATTACTTCATTCTAAAACAGAGAGAGATGTTTTGATGGAAACAATAACCGGAACAAGGTGCACTGGATTCAGAGTTCATTGCTTAGAAATGATCACCTGATGAGGACTGGATTCTTGGACAAATATCTGCAAGGCATTTACAGAGAAAGCAGCTTCCGGAACACTCCGAGAGAAACCAGGAATTTTGCTGGTGGCTCTGTGATCCCAGCTGGTTGTCTGATGAAACCTGGGAATGACCTAACATATGTTTCAGATGGCGGCAGCCCCAAGGAGGCTCCTGGTTCACTTTTATTCTACTGCCAAGAATGGGCTCAATGGCCCCCTGTCCTGTAATCACTCTATTTGCACACCCCTCCTCCCATTCCCATCCCAGGCTTCAATCCTTGAAGCTGTTCACTCTGTCTCCTCATGGACAGTGACAATGCACTCAATTCATTTTCAGTTTAAATCTGCAGATTATATTTTATAACCCAATGCAAGTTATTTGCAGAATTCTAAGTCTAGGGTTTCTCACTTTCAACAGGCACGAGTGATCCCAGATATAGTCTAACATTAACCAATAGGGAAAGTTACATTCACTGAGAAAAAGTAACAAATTTGAAAATTGGACAAGTTGGATTTCCTGCAGTGTATCTCCACCGATATGTCATAGTCATAAAGCTGGTCCAAGTCTCTGAATGGCTCAGGAAGGGCCATGCACTGGTTAGAGAGTTTGTGGTTCACAAATGGGCGGGAATGATGCGGTTAGTCTCCTCCACAGCTCACAGGACTGGATACCGAAGAGGAGTTAGTCAGAACAAACTGCTCGGACCTTTTTCCAGAATCTTCACGTTTCTCCACTTTGCAAAGAACCATGTTTCTGACTTCGTTCCGAAATTCCTCAGAAATGTAATAATAGATGAATGGATCGAGGCAGTTATTGAAAGTGCTGAGCACCAGGCACACCAGATAGTAAAAATACAACTTATTGCTGTCAGTGTTTTGGAATTGTGAATGATGTACCAGCAGGGTTACATTACTAGGAATGAAACATATCAAAAACACAATCAGCACCAACACCATGGTCCTTACAGCTTTCGAATACTTGCTATCTTCCAACATCAATGATCTGATGATAGACACGTAGCAGAATATAGTAACAAGTGATGGAATGAAAAACCCAAACACAACCAAACACATAAAGTAATTAAAAAAATAACCAGTGTCCAATTCTTTTGGCAAAACATCGTGGCAGGTGGTGATGTTGAGGTTGTGGATTGGATAGGTCTGTCTCTGGAGGAGGAACGGTAACATGGCCACTACAACAAGCACCCAAATCACACAACAGCTCCCGACAGCGAAGCTATTGTCCCGGAAACGCTTGGAGAGAAAAGGATGGACCAGAGCGAAGTACCTGTCGATGCTGATGAAGGTGAGAAGCAGGATGGAGCAGTACATGTTCCCGTAGAAAAAGGCAGTCACTGTCCGACACAGAGCTTCACCAAAGAGCCAGTCGTTGCCCAGGAGGTGATAGTGAATTTTGAACGGCAGCACGAGGCTCAGGAGCAGATCAGCCACAGCCAGGTTCATCAGGAAGATGGTGGATGGTAATCGCTGGGTCCTTGTGACCAGGACAAAAAGAGCCATCCCATTGGCTGGGAGTGCAATGCTCAGGATGATGCTGTAAACTGTAGGAATTATCACCGTGGTGATGGAACTGGTCAGGTAATTTTCCAGAGTTTTCCTTGTAGCACTGTCAGAACTATCTTTCGATGAATGGAAACTTCTCCCACGGGCATCAGGGACATCTGAACACAAAATCACAGTTTAATGTTAGCATTTAGCTATTTGTAAAGATTCCAAAAGTGTGGAACTTTCCTGTCAAAGACTCTGAATGTTGGGAATCAATTTGGACTTTTCAAGACTGAAATTTGATTGAGTAAATTATTTCCCAATAGGTTTGAATGAAAGGTGCAGAGCAGATAGAGACCAGTTTGAATTTAACTGAAATGATCTACCCATGAGCCTCTTTTCCCATATTTTGTTCTGCAAAGGGAGAGGGTGTAGCTCAGTGGTTAGCACTGCTGTCTCACAGCACCAGAGACCCAGGTTCAATTCCATCCTCAGGTGACTGTCTGTGTGGAGTTTGCACATTCTCTGTGTGGGTCTCTTCCCACAGTCTAAAGATGTGCAGATTAGGTGGATTGGCCATGGGAAATGCAGGGTGACAGGGGTGTGGTGGGTCTGGGTGGGATGCTCTTCAGAGGCTTGCTGTGGGCTGAATGGCCTGCTTCTATGATTTTTATCTTGTTCATATTTAGTTTGGGACAGGAGGAGACCATTCAGTCCTGTACTCCTGTTCAATCATTTCATTTAGATTACAACTGCCTTTAGGCTATATTTTCCTGACGTTGATTATTTTAACTTAAGACCTTGACCTTGGTGTGAAGATTACCTCCCGACATCACCAGGAATGGCCTGGCTCAAACCTGGAGTTTCTGCCCCTTGTCCTGGGTCTCCCACCATGGGAAGCAGCTTCTCTAACAACCCTGTCAATTCCTTCGATCATCTTAACTGCCCCAGATAGACTTTCAGAAAGCGTTTGACAAAGTCCAGCATCAGAGATTATTGTGCAAGATTAAAGCGCATGGGGTTGGTGCAGGTGTATTGAGATGGATAGAAAACTGGTTTGCAGAGAGGAAACAAGAGTAGGAATTAATGGGTCCTTTTCAAATTGGCAGGCCGTAACTAATGGGGTACCACAGGGATC